ATACGACAACGGCCTCACTAAGCAATTTTAGTAAATTTCTGTTTCAGTTTGCCAGCTTCAATTTTCAGACTTATTAGGCTATCCATAGAGCCTTGTTCGTTTCTTTTTGTACTTTCGTTTAAAACCAACAAATGCACCAATTGAACTACGGTTTGTTTCATTAGAAAGGCCACTTATTTTTCTGCAAAATAATGTTAAAATGGGTTTAAAATGTATTACGTTTGGATTTTTTTTAGGAGCCCGAAGTCGGGTAGTCAAAAAGGACGACGATGATGCGGTTTAGACACTTTAGCTAAGGAAATCTATTTTAGAGTCAATAGAGAAAAGATAGAGCACAAAAAGTTAGATTTATAGGCAAATTTTCAAAGAAATTGTTTAAGCCAATTTCTTCGTAGAGGTTTTTATAAATCGAAAAACATGAATTTTATGGAAAACACGCTTTTCACTCTCGAATTTGCGCCTAAAAAAAATGAACCCAAATTGACTTAAAAAGATGGGAAATTGAATAATAAACACTTTTTATTTAAAGCAAACCATAGGTTAATTGATGAATTTGTGATTTTTCAAGAACGGAAGTACGGAAAGAAAAGACTTTCTGGACAGCCTAAGATATTTTCTTTCAGCTCTTCTTTACCAAAAATGAGAACCCTTCTTTTACTGCTCGGCGTTACAGTGGCCTTGATGGTGAGTCTAAGAATAGTTTTGATAGAATCTAAGCACAAAAAGGCACTATTATGTTGAAGTAAACCAGTCAGATTAGCTTGCAACGGTGATAAAATAACGTTCAATTTAGTCAGCAAAACAACTCACTGTGCTCTGTCCTGGCGGAATTTGGGTATGCCCATCTGGTGAGTGTTAAAAATAGCTTAATAACTTTTCTTTTCAAAGTAAAATCTTTATTTTACTTTTCCAGGAAGCACTTGTTGTCCAGAGGACAATGGACAATATGGCTGTTGCCCGAAGACGAACGCTGTTTGCTGTTCGGATAAGTAAGAAGTTTTAAAAATTTGATAAAATAGTTGATTTGTCAAATTATAATCATTCCGAAGTCACATCTTTTAGAAAAAGTCTCGTAAAAGTCTTTTCTCCAAGTATTTTCTCTTTTCTCTTAATGATAAATTTCTAGGCAACACTGTTGTCCATCCGGTTATCGATGTGATGCCACTGGATTGAAATGCAATCGACAAAATGAGGTTGGTAAGGGGAAAGCTTGCTTCTTTGATACTTTTAAAGTCTTTTCTAATCCTTAATTTGATTAAAATTTTAATCAAACAATGAAATCGTTCAGGCAACGATTCCGTCGATGCAAAAACTCGCCGCGATTTCGATGGTTTAAACAAGAAAAGCGCTCATGTATTTAAGACAACTTAAATCCAATCTTTTGCTCTATTTTCTTTTTTTATCTTAATAAATATTCACATGAAAATTTATTGGATCAACAAAAAGAACAAAGTAAACAGTGTTTTGCAATAAAGATTTCGGATTTCGGATAATGGATTTCGCCCAAGATTTTGGCCAGGATTTTGGCCAGGATTTTGGCCAGGATTTTGACTGCATTGCCCAAAGATTGCAATTGGATTCATTTGACTCAAGTAAGGGTAAACAATCTTCAACAAATATTTCCTAGCTTGCGAATTCTCCATAATCTCTTGAAACTTCTCATTCCTCACAAACAAATCCTTCATTTTCTCGAAATTCTCAAATTTTCCATTGCGAGAACTCAAGAAAAGTTTTATTTTTGAACATTTATTGGGAATCCCTTGCTTCTGAATGAGATTACAGCCATCGATGAGATCTTTGACTCCATTTCGTTGTAAAGAAATTTCTCTTAAGTACATCATTGAAAAACTATCAAGCACAATTTGAATCAGTACTCGATTTCGAAAATGTCACTATTATCAATATTTTCTCTCAAAATTGCTCAACTTTGGCTCATGAATATTCCCAAATTTACACAAGAAAAGCCACTTAAAAAAGATAGGTTAGCCGTTTTTTCCCGAGTCTCAAGGCCGATTGGAAAAGAACAAAAAAAGGAACACAAGACCGTTCTTATTCGGGGGTATCTGTTGGGATCGACAACTGAAAGAAAATGACTAGGATGAAGAGAAGGATGACTTGGAGGCGGATCGACATTCGAAAGAGAACCAACCTTAAAGTAATGTAAGTCTTTGATAATAAACCGTTTAGTTGTATTGGAATCCCATTAGAATTGCCCTAAAATTAGTGATCATAGTATTTGTACGTTCACTTTTGAAACTGTTTGCAAAAGAACTCACCAAAGAAGAAGAAGAAAGAGATGAGGAGGACGGAGAAGGCACGAATATTGGATGAGGCGAGAGTTGATGAAAGAAGTTCAAGTGAGTGAAGTTGTTGATGATCGTCATCGATGAGTGACTTTTATACCATTTGATCACGATTACTTGTGTCATAAAATCCCTCTTACAAGGGAAATGCAACAGTAGGATGCCAAATGACATGAGCCTTAGACGCGGAATTTCACGTTGATTCCGAATCTGCTTTCCGTTTTTTGCAAAATGGCAAAACATGGCAAAACAAAAGCTTTACCAAAAAGCTATCGAACTCAAGCCAAAAATTCAGGGCTAGTTTTGTATGCAAAACTTTTGTTTTGCGTTTTGATGTTTTAACACTTGAATTTTATCTGGCCTTAAAACTATTTCAAATGTTTATAATATAATTGACATTTTACAAAATTAAACCATGAAAATGAACAATGTGGCCAATGAAAATTTGTGGCACAAGAAGAACCCATGAAAAAATTGGTGTAATCTTGACTTGATCAAAACCCTTGTTATCCCATTCTCGTTCTAATCAGTCAACTAGTAAAATGGGTTCATAGCCAATTTGATAGCCCAAATGTACTCAATCATATTTGTGTCTAGCCTCTAATTTGTGATCAGATATCAACAAGGACAAACATTTCTCCCCAAATAGACTCATTTGACTAGGCAGCTGTTTTCAATTGTTCTGTTTTGTGGCACAAGAAAATCCCATAGTTCCCGTCATTTCTCACTCGTTTTCAAGCGCAGTTGGTTTTTTTTTTGAGAGCACAATAAACAAACAAGATCAGTTCAAACAATAAAAAAACAAGATCAGTTCAAAGAAGTTGATGCTCAAAGCGTCATTCTTCTAAGTAAATACATTTCTTAGCTTACTATTTGTGTAGTTATAAAGTACCAGTGTTCGAGTTGTAAAGTAAGACCCTCCTTGGAAACAACAGACAGGGAAGTGTGTATAAAAATTTAAAAAGGTGCAAAATTTGTTATGTTAAGTAATTTCTTGTCATTTTAGATCTTTTGATTTATAGAATAGAATTTCTAAGCGATGAAAATGTGTTTTTATTTTAACAAGTTAGAGACCCATCGTGTCCCCCTCTCATTGTCAATGTTTATGTAAACACAGTGAGGAGTGGACGAAATTTTCGCTGACAATCGAGCTTTACTTTCGTTTTCAGTATCAATCTTGGTTTATTTTTCAAAATTCGTTGCTTTTAATAGATCGTACGCTTTGTGGCTGTAAAAGTAAAAATTTAAAGCAGTTTTTGAAATTTTAGCTGTGGCTCATAGCTCATAGCTAGGCAAAACTTTGGTTTAAGGGCTAATAACCCAGTTTTTAATATCTTGAATGGCTTTCTAGTAAGGGAACTTATAACATATTTGATCAATTCCCCAACTGAGGTTGGGCTGAGACTGGCAAAGTTCCAGTAGTTAATCGAAAGTTGAACTATTTTCTTCAAGAATTGCTTCAAATTTTGTTTTAATTTTTATAATATTTACCTACATTGAAAAGGTCAATCCCTTAAATCCCATTCAATAGCTAATCACTTGTTTATTTGCTAGCTTTACTTTAATTGAAGGAAATTGTTTGCCTCGGGTTGTCTCTCCTCATCCCGTCAAAACAACCCGAGGGATCTCTTTATCTCCAATCTCTGCGTCGGCCATATGGTCACCCTTTGATCCCCTTTCGTTTTCTCAATCGATTCATCTTCCATTGTTCAATCAGAGGGAATCAAGATTGTTATTCCATGATAGGAGCTAATCTAGATGTTTTGACCATTCGATTATTTGATCTTGTTGTAAGTTGGAGATCTTATTTGACTTTCTTTCAAGAACTCATTTGTTTTGTATGTAAAAACTAGCTTTATGCAATACAGTAGCTATGCGTTTCTTGCTGACCTTTTATCTGATCACATTTTCTTCTAGAAAATCAAAAAAAGGTACAGCCGTTCTTTTGTCCTCTTACACGCATCTGGCTACGATAGCAAAGCTACAGTACTTTCACAGTACTGTAGAAAGAATAGTACTTCTACATAGTACTAAAGCACTTTTACAGTACTGTAGAAGAAATAGGAGTACTTTTACAGAAGAAGTAGAAGTATTATCCTACTGTAGTACTCTGTAAAAGTACTATTTTTTAGCAAAACTCGAATTCTATCATACTGTAAGAGTGTGATAGAACTGGAGTACTAAAGTACGATAGTACCATAGAAACTAGTACTGTAGAAGCACTTCAAAATCCCCATAAGCCTTTATTCACCCGGAGGCTGAAATCAGCCCTCACAATCATTTTCGACCTTCCAACAAACCCTCTCGATTCATCGGCTCACCATTTATCTCCCACTCATTTTTTCTCATTTTTCGTCCACTTCTCTATTTTATTTTGTTCCGACTGACCATATGTCCCTCTCATCGTTTATCCTCCCCACTTTTTCCCTCCATTGATCTCTCTCTTTCAAACCCAACCAATTTCCAATGACTCACCTCAAATTTAACAATAACTCAAGGTCACCCGATTCTCATGAAACTTTTGTTTTTGACAAGGGAATAAACTAATTTCTCTTTTCTCTCAGTGACTCATCACAAACACTTTTCTCCTTTATAATAGCTTCGAGTTTAGTCTAGCACTCATTCCAGTACAAATTACTCTGATCTCCAAATATATTCTTTCACTGAATACTTCTATTTCTTGAATATTTATCTAGAATGTTCACTCAATTGGCCTTCTTCGCTCTTCTAGCTCTTCCATTCATTGCCGCTAACAAGCAAACGGTGGGAATCGAGGGGAAGCTCACTTGCAATGGAAAGCCATACTCGGGAGCTAAGATCAAGCTCTATGATCATGATACTTGTGAGTTTTCAAAGAAAATAGTCTGTAAATACATTCAAAATCTAAAAAGACTTTAGTTAACAATTTTCTCAAGTATCAGCTTGTTTCAAAATAGTTTTCCAGTGACTATGGACGACAAGCTCGGCGAGACGCAAACTGATAACACTGGATATTTCAAGGTTGGTTTAATAAGTTCATTAAACATTTAGATAAAGAAATTCCTAAACGAAATCTAGCTCTTTAATCTAAATTTTGAACTAAACAGTTCTTCAATGTTTATAAACAATTATACGAAACAATTTAGCTCGTCGGAACCGGCAGCGAAGTGAGCCGTCTCAACGTCAAATTCAACGTGTACCACAGATGTGGAAAGACGGTAGGAGTCGAAAATTTGAATACACTTTAAGTACTATAGCCAAATATCTTCAATTAGATCATTTTCTATTAATCTATTTTTTCGTTTAGCTCCCTGTTTGCTACTACAAATACTCGTGGGCCGTCCCTCAGAGCTACGTAAGCTCGGGCACCTATCCGCAAAAGGTTTGTGAATTTTAGGCTGACTTGCTCAGGATTTTCTGATTTGCTTTAGATTTAAAAGAATCGTTAGTTTAAGCTACAAAAAACAGAATTACGCTTTAAAAGTAATCGGATATTGGGGCCAAAATCTATTGTTGACTTTGGGTCAGCTCTAGTTTGAGTTTAGGGAAGTCAGCTCTAGTTTATGCTTCAAATCTTTTTCAAGTGCAAGTAATGACTCACAACCGCTAAAAATAGCTTTTCCCGTTCTTACACTTTAACTTTATGAGTAGAATGTAATGTGGTCAATAGCTGGATTCAAGTTAAGAACGTCAACTAAGTTTTAGCTTCAAAACTTTTATCAAGTACAGGCGACGATTCAAAACCGCTTAAAAATGTTCCCCGTTCCAATGTTTATTCAAAACTCGTTTCTATTTGAAATTCAAAATTCAAAATTGCAAATCCTTTATTTCACCCGTTCCCATTTCATCATCATTGATCTCCCATTGATTTCTCGTTGATTTCAGATGTTCAACGCACAAACGATCGAGTTGTCTCTCTTGGAGAAGCACCGAGATTGCCTCAACTGAACATTTTCTTGCCTCTCTAGTGTTTTATACTTGATATGTCCATTTTAGCCACATTTCTTTGATCGTTATCTTATCATTGGTGCTTTTTTCCCCTTTTCTCCTCACTTCCATCTACTTATCCATCTTCTCAATTCTTGCCTTGTCACTAATTTTGGTAATAAATTCAAATTTCAGATACAAAATGCTTCGATCACTTCACGTATTCCTATTCGTCATTCTCATTTCCATTGTCACAGCCGGATATCAGACTGTGAGAGTCTACGGAAAGCTGACTTGCAAGGGACAACCGTATGGAGGAGCAAAAATCAAGTTGTACGATCATGACACTTGTGGGTTTTTTGGAAAGTATTGGTTTTGCTACAGAATTCGGTATTGTTTTGTATAAAACTAAAGCATTTCACATAAAGCTATTTCATGTTAGGACTCTATGAAAATCTAGGCAGTTAAAACCTAGATAGTTCTAGGTAGTTAACCTAGAAAATCTGAGCCTAAATTGGTTCAAACTTTAGCCAAAACTTTGCAAGATTAGCCTTTTTGCTAACTCGAGTCAGCAAAATACAATAAATAGATCCTGTGAAATTCGAAATGAAAACTTCGATCAATTTGAAAAGTTATCAAATATTTACTCACCCATTTAGTCACTCTTGATGACAAATTGGCGGAGGGTCGCTCGAATGCCGATGGAACGTTCGATTTGGAGGGAATGGGAAATGAGAGGACACGGCTTAATGTAAAGATGAACATCTATCACAGATGTGACAAAACGGTGAGTGCTTCAAGAAAAATAAGGAATCCAAATTGATCCAACTTTGCAGATCCCTCTCTGCTACTACAAACACTCGTTCCCCGTCCCCTACACGTACATTTCCGCTGGACCAAGGGCCACCAATGTGAGTTTTCCTAAGATTGATTCTTTAATTCTTTACTATATGTTGAGCATTTTATGTTTTCCAAACTTGCTTTCCAAATTTTATTACCAAATTTTAGCCGTACAACGTGCAAACTCTCGAACTCTCAATGCTTGAGAAGGAACGCGATTGCTTCAACAAGAAATAGAAATCGATCTCATCGTTTTGGCTGTACAAATTTGGTTCAGTTTCATTTTTGGTTGCTGATATGATAATAAATTATGTTTGATAAACTAAATAGGCAAAAAGTTTCAAAATTCCTTTGCAGCTTATTTTTACGGGAAATTTTCAATTTGGCGTGTTTTCTTTCCTTAACTTCTTAGCTTCTTAGCAAACACAGGCTTTCCGTTTAACACTTTTACGTTACTAAACAAGGTTCCGTAAAAGTATTATAAAGTACATACAATGCAAGAACTACAATCGAGCAAAACACTAAACCCGTAAAACGAGAAAATGAATGGAAATGGAATGAATGGAAAATGACAAAATAAATGAAAAAGCACTGATTAAATTAGAAACTATGTATATAAAATTAAATCGGATTCAAAAGTTCCATTCATTGTACAATTTTTGATTTTCAATCCAGGTAAGTCACATTCTCGTCGTCAAACGATTCTCCTTTGAGTCGGGAAATCTGGAAATGAAAATAGAAATTGTATTGTTTATATACATATCACTAAACAAGTTTTCAGGTTTAATATTAATTTTGATAAATTTCTAAGAAATGCTTAAGTAAAGTTATTTTTATTTTTGATCAACAAAAACCAACCTCTTCTCTAGCCAAATCCGCCTCGATCGATTTCTTCAGATAAAGTCGATTCACCTAAAATGAAGGGTTTTTTTAAGTCGGGTATAACTGCTTAGACAATGGTATTCATTCTTTTCCTTGAAGTTATATTCACTTTCATTCTCATTTCACTTACTTGATTCAATTCCCCTCGAAGCTTTCGATTTTCTTCTCGGCTCACCATCAACTCTTGGATCATTTTTCGCAACTCGGCATGAAGGTTTTCCATTTCTTTTCCTCTCTGAAAGCTTAGCGTTTGTAGCTTATACATTCCAAACACGATTATACTTTAAAGTCGATAAAAAGTAGGTAAGCCTTTCCTATACTTAATCCTGATCTTGACTCAATCTTTACAGGATGCCTTGAAGTCAATGAGACAATTGCAAACTTTTCCCGAGAAAATCCTAGGTTGGCGCTTTAAAGCGCTTTAAAACTACCGTACCCCTCCTAATTTGCAGGTATAAAGGAAAGCGAGCAATTTCGTCCTTTCATTCTTGCATTTTTGTTCTTTATTTTTTTGCTTATTCTGTATTTCTTCGTATTCTTTATGAGTGGTGATGACACAACTTTGTGGAAGGAGTTTGCAGAAGGAATCGGTACATTCAAAACGGAGAAACTTCTTTGCAAATGGCATCCACACATGAGAGCGCAATTTTAATCGTCTTACAAAATTAGTTCCACAAACTGACATCTATATCTTTAATTTTTGCCCGAAAATGCTTCGAACTTTAATTAAAAAAAAATGAAACTTGGCTAATTCCTTGCAGAAAATAGAGAAAGATCTTTCCTTACATACCTAGAGGTTGCTGATTCAGTTTATTTAAAAAATCATGGCTCTTTCAGAATAATTACTGGAAGGCAGAATCAGAATGGGCAGTGTGAGGTGCAGCAATGACCAAATTGAATAAAATTGCGTCCTTTGTTTTATACCTGCAAATTAGGAGGGATACGGTAGTTTTACCACGCTTTAAAGAGCCAGCCCAGGATTTTCTCGGAAAGGGGTCGCAAGTCAATGAGACAGTCAAGTTAACGTCGATGCTGTGCTATCCTTATTGCTTAGAGCCCTACTTTTATCAATCACTAACCAGATCTTCTTCCAAATGCTCGATTGGTTGTTGAACGGAACTTGTCGGAGTGTCACTAGCGGTCGGAGGCTCCAGATCGTCGAGTGGACGAGAAGTTGCAACTGAAATGTGTGATTGTAGGAGATAGAAATTCTGTAGTCCATGAAATATTATGTATTAGCTCTATTTTAAATTCAATGCCTTGGCTTTAGCTTTAGGTTTTTTCAAAAGCCTTAGATTTGCGAATGTAAGCTTGATTTCAAACTCACACAACAAGCTCTCAATCGTCGACAAATTTGCAGGTTCATTGAAGAAATCGTTCAAAGTCGACTCATCAATCTCGTTCTTCAACACCAGCATCGGATCAATCGTAGATAGACTCAACGTTGGAATCGTTTCCTTGTCCCGTTTCGATCGTTTCGGATCATTTCCTAGTATTCCATAAGCATCAATGCTTAGATTCAATCCTTCTGCGTATTCTTTATGATTAGCTCGAATGTGTCGCCTCAAATTGCTCGTTGTTCCATATTTGCTTCTCTTGAAATTCGCCTGGCAGAGAGTGCAGACGACTTTGTCGGGTTGTTTCTCAAAAACTTGCCAAATAGTTGAGCGAATTGATGACGGTCTCATTGAAACTGGAAATGGATGATTGAGAAAGCTAGCAAAAAACAACAAAGCCAGGTTACAAGCCAGATTTCAATGTCTACCGTGGAAACTTTTGAGCATTGGTTAGCCTACAATCAGTGGTAAAAGTGATAAACGAAACACTGAAAGTGAAACACTTTCAGAAACAGAACAGTAAATGAAAAAGAAACAAGAAGAAGCAAAAATCATTAATGATAAGTTTGCCTTTGGCAAAGCCTAACAAAATTGGAGTAAGCAATTGGAAACAGAAGCCAATTCTAGGTAAATTTGAACCTAAATGGCAATTGTACAATTGTAGCAATCAATTAGGGAAATGAACTTAACTTCAATGTAAATTTCAAGGCAAAAAAACTTAAAGTAATCACAAAAAGACTAGATATTCATCCAAAAATTGGTCAAAATCCATTTAAGCCGACTAAAAACAGCAATCCTGGGGATGAGGTTTGACTCGGGTGAGTGTGCCGAATCAATACTCGGGCGACACACTCAGCAAAAAGGGAAAAAGGGCAAAAGACGGGGATTCGGGCCGATTCTCTCTTCGGATCCCTCTTCCCCTTTCCTCTTTTGCTTCCCCCCTTTCCCCTTTTCCTTCCCCCCTTCCCCCTCACTTTTTCTCTTTTCCCCCTCTTCACCCGCGCAACTCTTCCTCCTTTCCTGTTCCAATGTTCGCCCATATTCGACTCGTTTCAAAAAGTGCTCACCTTTCAATGAGAAGTTTAGGAAAAGCGGTGTTGAAACTCTTTTTTTTGGCAGAAAGAAAACGAGAGGAAAGTTGTGTTACATAATATGTGTTACGCCTTATATGAAGGCAGATTAAGTCGCAAATGTGTCAGATTATTTAAAGTTTGTTATAATTGCATTTTTATAGCATTTTACACTTATATTTCAATTTTTAGCCCGTTATAAAAATGTTATAAAAATAAAATAATTATAACAAAGTTTAATTAATCTAACACATTTTCGACTTAATCTGCCTGCTGACTTATAAGGGGTAACACATACTACACTGCTCTGCATGATCATAGCTCCACCTATGGATCTCTCAAAAACTAAGTTTTTGAAAAGATTTAATCAAAACTTTCAAAATAGAAAAGGTGTGATATTTCGATACTAAAATTATCATAAACACCGATTTTGCATAGCAAAGCTTATAAAGAAAAAACATCTAAATTTTCAAAAAAATCGTCTTGGCCGATCAACATAATTATAGCTCCACCCCTCAGAAAATGAATATTTCTTGGATCAGCGAAGAAGTCCAATAGCGTAATTTAATGATCTCGATTCTAAAACTGAAAACCGTTTATGACTAGTCCTTACCGTTTTCGAGAGCTGGAAACTCGATTTTGTATGGAAAACGGGATTTTTCGAGGTTTTTGACCCATAACTTTTTCTGGGTCCAAAATCCAAGAAAAACATTGTGATTTCCAGAATCTAGACAAAATTTGTGACAAAAACTAATTGGGAGTAAAGGATTCAAGCGAACGGTTGAGTCAGGATTTGAATCTGAAAGTTGCAAGTCGGATTTTTGCTTTTTTTCAGTGTAAAATGGACTTGTTTTTGGAAAATTTTTCTTCTCGATTACTTTCTGATCGGTTTCCGCGCTGATTCCCTTACTTCCAATTAATTTTTTGTCATAAATTTTGTCTAGATTCTGGAAATCACATGGGCGGTTTTTTTGATCTCTAACCACCTTGTACACCCCACTTGAGCCACAATGGAGCCACAATTTACGACCATCAATTATCCATTAATTCTACGACCGAAATATACAATTGTTGCGACATTAAACAATCCGATCAGACAATCAAAGAGCTCAATTAAAGCTAAATCCCATTTTCGGATCGTATATACTTTTGCGAATTCGTCTTTTTGGCATCGGGTACCTGCATGTTGTACTCCGATCTATTCAAGCAAGCATTACAACTGACAATTATTAGGGACTAATGCCATCTGCTTTCTCACATTTCCACAATAATTGACCCACGATCGATTACCGATTATTGATATCGATTACGATTACCGATATCGATTACCTCATCAGTTACTATATATATATATGTCTCGTGAGCACAAATTACTCACAAGGGAACTAAAATCGTGGTCTTTTCTGAGCCCTGGAATCTTGAGTAGTCCTTGAATTGATCCTAGAATTCTGATTGAACTTTTTGATTGCTTTTAGCTGAGAACCGGCAAGTCTAGGATGCATCACAAGAAGTGAATGAGCTTTTACAATTTGGGCAAAACGCGTGCTTCTTTAGATGGATCTAAATATTCATATTTATACAAAGAATACTAATACTACAATCTATTCGAAATGATTCGCATTTGGCGCAAATTGCCCTTTCTTTGTACATGTATGAAAATCTCCTCTTTAGTCTCGTTCAACGATGAATTATTTCTTACTTTTCCCCTTTCTTTTGTCAATTTTCTTGATTCTATTCGATTTTTGTGTGTAAATCGTTACACCAATCAATTTTTCGACATCTGTGGGCTTTTGTTTCGAAAGCGCTTTTCTTTGATTTTCTTTTCGATACGACAAGCCCTTCCAGAGCTGATTGAAAAGCTGATCGGATTGCTGATTGGATCAAAGGCTGTTTGAGAAGCTTTGGAAGCGGATCTTATTAAAAATTAAATTTCAGGTATTGACAT